ACGGTCGGTGGCATCGCAGGGCTGCGGTGCTTTGACTCTGAAAGCCACCAAACTTCCACCTGCTGGCTGCTTTCACACATCTGTCACAATGTACAGAGGCTGGAAGGGACCTCTGGAGTTTTAGTACAATTCCCTCTGCTTCCCTGCAGCAGATTGCACGGATCGCTGCACTGAATGCCAAGTCTCCTGCTGGCCCTTGACAGCTTTCTTTCTCAGACAAGCATTCAGGGAATCATAGGATGCCCTGGGTTGAAAAGGACCATGATCATCTAGTTTCAACCCCCCTACCTTGTGCAGGGTTGCCAACCACTGCCCCAGGCTTGTCTTGAATCATCTCTGGGTCTCTCTTGCTCCCCTGTTGGGTACTGCAGGACTGGGTTCTGGGCGATGGTGCTCTGGTGATCCTCTTTCCTTTAGGAGCAGCTCTATTCCTGCTGCTCCCTCAACACCCGTGTTTCATTTTAGCCTCTCTTGCTTCAGTTTCCTTCTTCCCTGCACAGAGATCTGGCTAAGAGGCAGTAGGGATTTATTATTGGTAAGCTCAGTATCAGTCACGTCAGGGAAAGATCAAAGGAAAAGGGTTCTAAGAACTGGAAACATCAGTAAGTCAGTCAGTGTACTGAGTTACAGACAACAAAAGACACACGGAGCAGCATTCTGCTCCTAGGCACCAACGGTTCACAGAGGAACTGCAGCTCTCTGCTCCTGAACCCAGGAAAGAGGGAATGGATCAAGGAGGGCAGGCTGAGCAGCAGCTGTCCATCTGTACGGCCTCCAGGTTTCGGTAGGTGAGATCACGTCCCCCATTTAACAAGTTTTCCTGAGGTGCACAGATCTGAGGGCCTTCTCAGCAACAATGCTGGGAGGAGGAAAAGCTGCCACTGCTGCAGAACGAGCACTGTCCATCGGGGGAGCAAAGCTCCAGCCTGGGGGTCAGCCTGGGTGAGCTGCTCCACACGGCTCAGTCTCCTTGTTTCACGATGACATCAGACAGGTCCTCTGTGCCATTCAGTTTCAGATTCTGTGGAGAGCAAATAGCTGAGTTTAGGAGAGCCAGTCTGCTCCCCTTTGAGGGTGAAGACCCAGGGAGCTGAACAAAAACACCCAAGGAATGCTCAGAACAACCCTAGGCCTTTCTGCCTCCATCACAGTGCAAAGATTGAGGAATCCCCTCAGCTGCTCTATCACTCTGAAGCAGCCACAACACCATAACATTAAGCAGATGAGCTTCATCCCTTCTGTCCTTCCCTGTCCTCACATCTGGCAGCAGACAGAAGTCAAGCTGGAAATACTGTGCTTCTTATTTCCAGCACATCCACCTGATTTGTGTTCACTATAAACATGAAATGGGATTTATTATAAGATTCTGATGTGAAAATAAAACGCTGTGTGCTTTGCCCACTGCTCCTACTCACCTCGCATACATGCACTGCACTTACCTTCTCATTTGCCAAGTGCAAGAGGCAGGCAAAGGCTAAAGGGACAGACAGATTTTTAGCCATCACAGAAGGCAACCTAAGGAAGAGAAGGAAGGTTAGGATGGCCAGAGCCTGAGACTGTGGATAGAGCATGTCTGCAAGCTACCAGGTCACCAAAGACAAGCTGCATGTGGCAGCTCCTTCCCCAGTCTCTGATTTTCTCTACCTTATTCCATTAGCAAAGACTTGGCCAAGCCAAATGCAACCTGTAGCTCCCTCAAGCAAATAGACAGCAAGGGATTCCCCTCCTGTCAGGATTCAGGTAGCAGGTTGCAACAGAAGCCAAACGGATCAGTGCTTGCCCAAAAGTCTACCCAGCCCGGAGCCCAACCTTTTGTAGAGCCTCTCTACCTGTGAAGCAGTTCCTTTGTGATGCTGCTGAAGGCCTTCTCCCCTGTCACCACTGATATGTCGCTCTGCTTCTCCACATCTTCAATCTATTCAGCAAAAAGACAGACACTGCTGAGGCAGCTTTTGCTCCCCAGGGCTCAGCCTCACGCTCAGAGAACCACCACTGCAAATCACTGCTCACAGACCATCCTTAGCAACTATCCCATGGAGCAAGGCTGTTGGAAAGGAATTGCCACCAACACGTCCATGATGATCTGTGTGGCAGCTAACCACTGTTACATGCAGGGCACACGCTTCTTTCAGGCCTGCTATCTGCCCACTCTCACCTCTGCCGCTGTGTTTTTCTGTACATCAATAAGAAGGTCCCACATGTTTTGCTTCAACCTCTTCATGTCCATTTTCTTGGCTGTCTTTGCATACTGAATTGCTATCTTATTGACCTGAGGAAAAGACATTCAGGGTTAGAAGGGAGCAACTGAGCAGCAGCAGCAGCGTCCTCTATCTCAACCAAAGGAACAACCCAAACTTGGTTTTCCTATAGCAATGACATCATCTCAGAATAAAGCATCCATCAGCAAAACCCTGGAGATCCTGAACAAGGAAAACTGCTCTCTCGCTCTCCCTGAGAAGCCCTGCTGCAGATCTGCTCAGTCAGTGGTACACAGCTGGGCACATCGTAAGTCCTTACCTTCTGAGGCTCAGCAATGAGGTTCAGTTCCCCATACATTGTGATATCAACACCATCAACCCCGTTGAGCTCATGATCGTGACCCTCAGGGTGAGAGGTGAGGTTGAAGTCTGCTTGGCCCATGAATTGGACGGGGTCATTGTCATCATCACTATCTGCAGCCTGGTCAAGAAGAGAAACACCAATGAGGGCACATCCAGACAGCTCAGAGGAGCTGCAGATTCCCTGCACTGAGTGCCCACCCCTCAGGAGAGTGGTGACACCTGAACCCACTGCCCCTGTGGAGGAACGACCTTCAGCCTGACAGCTGAAAGCTCAGGTTAAGGCTAAACCCACCAGAGACCCAAAGGACAGAATATCAAAAGGCTGTTCTACACAGACAGGTGACAGAGATGAAGGCTCTCCCATCAGCGTGGGGGCATATGAGACCTGCAGCACCGGCCTGGCAGAAAGCTGAAGCTTTAGAGAAAATGTACTTCAGCAGGAGCTCAAATCAGCTGGGTGCAAGTATCACTGTGCAGAGGTGACTGCAGAAGTGAGCAGTGGTGTCTACTGCTACTTCATGGGAGGTGCAGTATGGAACAGCATGGAATGGAGTTTCTGCAGGAAATCAGCCAGCAAACTCCAAGGGCAGATTGTTGAATTGATGGTACCTGAGCACCACTGAGTGACAGGACAAAGGTGAGTGGCATCAGCTCTGCCACAATCTGATGGCAACTCTTTTTCCACTGGTAAGTGACGCTAGACATACGATTCTTCCTGAATTCCTTCTACCACATGTCAAACGTGAGCAACAGAGAGAAATGTTCTTGCTCCCAGTTACCTGTGCTGCAGGGCAGAAATTGGAGGTGTCATTGGGGTTATTGTAATCATATTCACCGATCTCATCTTCGTGATCCAAGGAGCTGCCTGGCTTAGGCAGCCTGAAGAGCTGCAGAGATGAGACTGGAACATCAGGAAAGAGGAAACCAGATGCTTTCCCCAAGCAGTGCCTACATCTTGCTAACCCACTGCCAGCCCTTTTCCCAGCCTCTTCCTCCTCCTCACATACCACCCACCAATCCCCTCATAAAGCACAACAGCCAAGCACAGACAACTCAGCATCCACAAGTGAGTTGGTTCACTATCAGGCATCATGCTGGCTCATTTCCTGCCCTGAGGAGCAACCCAGAGGCACTTCAAGCAGATTAAGAGCCATTCTGCACACGGAACATTGCCAAGAAGATTTTGGAGAAGCCTCTTACCTTAGCAGCTGGTTTAAGGAACAGCTGGACAATGTTGTTAGGGTTGTAGTTGAAGTCTGCAGGAAGTGTGGTGCTCTTTACGTTCTGGTTTTCCAGAATGGATTTGCTCAGAGTTACAGCAGCCTGCAGAAGGTAATGCCATAATCCATGTGATATCCAGTATTCAGCTTCTTATAAGGGCAGATGGTGACATGACAAGGATGAATGGCTTTATACTAAAAGACAGATTTATATTAAATACTTAGAAGAAACTCTTTACTCAGAGGGTGGGTGAGGCTCTGGAACAGATCACTAAGAGAAACTGTGGGTGCCCCATCCCTGCAGGTCTTCACAGCCTGCTTGGATGGGGCCTTGGGCAGCCTGAGCTGGGGGGTGGCAAGCAGCCCATGGAATGGATCTTTAAGGTCCCTCCCAACTCAAGCCTTTCTATCATTCTTCAATTCTATGACCAAACATGGATATTTGTTTAAAATGAGAGAAGTTCTGAAGTGCTTCCAAGGATGAGTCCTACTCTGCATGCAGTGACTTAAACACAGCATCCTGGGACACACAGCTGGGCCTGTGCGTTCAGACAGGGCCTTTCTGGCCAGAAAGAATCCAGCCCCATTCTTCACTTCAAGGTTGGTAAAACTGTAAGAAGCTTTGAAGCCAGAAAACCCTGCATGAAGGAGCACGCAGGATGCTGTGTTGCTGTGTTCACAGAGCCAGGTTCCACAAGAGAAGAAAGGGGAGCCACCTGCTGATGGCACTCCAAGACACACTGATACAGCAAAGGGAGCAGAGGCAGAAACACAGTGCATACCTTGGTCTTACGGAAATATGTCTCAAAGTCAACATCCTCATCAAAGTTCACTTCAAATGCTTTCTTTGCCTTCTTCTTCTTGTTCTCTTTCTCAGAGTCAGCACTTGCTGCAGAAAGGAAGGAACGTGAGCTTCTGCTCCACAATGACAGGTTACCTGTGTCCTTTACACTTTTTTCTGTGCTAGGGAAAGAAACAGGCAGTGTCCTCTGCTTCACACTTTAAAAGGGATCAGTATGTCCTTATAGAAGCAGCAAAAATAAACTAACCTTCAGTTTTTATGTTGAAGGATCTGTATTTTCTTCTATTAGTACAGTGAGACTCCTGCTCAATGCTGAGCATCATTAACAAACCCAAACAACAGAGAACACATCAGACACCAAAGGATCTGTGTGTGACTTGAGAGCCCTTCTGGTGTCCTAACTCAGTACTGCTTCCAGTCAGGCTAGAAAAGAGCCATGCAGAATTGTCTCATCTCTACTGCCTTTGCTTTATGGCTCACAGAGTCACAGGGTTGGAAATCATCTAGTCCAACTCCCCTGCTAAAGCAGGATTCCCAGAGATTCCATGCACATCCATGTCCAGATATATTTAAAATATTTACAGAGGAGAAACCATAACCTCACTGGGCAGCTTGTTCCAGTGCTCTGTCACCCTCAAAGTAAAGAAGTTCTCCCCCACATTCATACAGAACTTGCTCTGTTCCAGTTTGTTGCCCCCTCTTGTGGTGCTGAGCACCCAATCACTCGACAGCCTCCCTTTACACACTTTGATTGATCAGAACCCCCTTGGTCTTTTGTTCTCCAGAGTGTACAGCCCCAGGGCTCTCAGCCTTTCCTTTGAAGGGAGATGCTCCAGCCCTTATCATCTTTGCAGCCCTCAGCTGGACTCTCTCCAGTAGTTCCCTATTCACATATTGCCCATTTCCCAACAGAACCACAACCAGGCAGCAGCAAATGAGCTCCAGGCTCTGAATACATACATACATTTGTGTCGAGGTCTGAAACGCCAGTGCTCTGGGCCAGCCCACATTGACAGAGTTCGGGGGCTGAAGTAGGAGTATTCCCCTGGTTTCATGGAGAGATGAAGGCACATGGTCCCAATGTCTCCTTCCCCAAAAGAAACTGCATCAATTCTGGAAAGAGCACACACACTGCTCAGTAAAATCCTTCCTTTGAGATACACTAGGCCCAAATGTGTTTAATACCCTGACCAGCTCTGTGCAGACACCAGCCTGCAAGACTCCTGCTTTCTTATCAGCAAACCGTAGTTTGCTCTGTATTCTAAGTAATACAATGCTCTGTAATGTAAGTATTGCACTGTCTGGAGTCTGTGAGGCTGCTGTGAAAAGAGGTGGGCAGGGCAGGCTGAAGATGGGAGCAGAGCAAACAGACAAGGAACCAAAGAGGAAACATGACCATACAAAGGAGGTCCTTCTGGAAGGCAGAGATGTGAATTCCTCAGTGTACCTGAAACTTGATCAGAAAGCAAACTATAGCCAGATGGAAAGCACGCACACAGGAAAGTGAAGATCCTCCAGAGAGCTGTCTGAACTCGTTGCTGGCAATCAAAGCAAAGCAATAAACGTGAGTGACTACTCGCCTCTTGCTCTCACAGAGTGCCACGAGGGATTTGTTTCCTGCAAATTCCCCAATCTTTTCTGTTGTTACACTCCTGGGGGAGTCCGCAGCGAAGTCATCATCGGACGGGGCAGGAACACCATCTTCCACATCACTGTCTCTTTCTGCATTGATATCGAACACTTGGTCGCTCTTCTTAAATTTATCCAGCAGGGCTGATACTGACTGCAAGAAAAGATGCTCAGGGGGAAAGCCACAGCACCCCACAGCACACCTTGCTGCCCCACACAGCTCTCCAGGATCACTCTGCAGTGACAGAGCAGAGAATACAGCTCAGTACTCAATCCTGCACAGAGCCAACTACGTACCTCTTCATGGGATGCGGCGTCCCAGTGCGTGAACTGGAAATCAGCCAGCGCAGAGTAGATGGGGCGTTTTAAAACACACTTTTCTAGCAGCACTAGAGATAGGAAGGATAAAGAAATACCAGACACGGGATGAAATAACCAGCAGGTAAAACGAATGCCAGGTGCTAAACTGTTCTTAGTTTCAGAAGCATTTTGGGCTCATTTCTCGGCAGAAAGGGATGCTCAGTCGGATCTCTGATGGAAGGGTGGGCATAACACTGTGAATCTTAACAGAGTAACAGGGTTTAGGAATACTGACAGGGTTAAAAGACTCTGTAAGAGTCAGCCCTAAACCTGGAGCACGCTCATCTCAATTACTGCGTGGCTCCAATCATGCACACATTGCTGTGCAACAGGTTGAGCTACAGGCAGAGGTCTAAAAGGCAGTGAGGGTCCTGGTCCTGTCAGCAACCAGCCTCAGCCCAGGCAGGATCACAGCAAGGTGCCACAAGGTAGCCAGGAGGTCAATCAAGGCATAAGCAAGCTGGCTGAGGCTGAAAGGAGTACGTTTGGCAGATGAAAATGATATCTGGATGGGAGAATGGCTTAGTGGTTACCAGCACTCACACTTCAAATCTGTCACCTTCACAGGATCGCTGTTGGGCAGGACGAGGGTTTCCGAAGATGGGAGAGGCACAATGTTGGAGTCAAAAAGGAGCTCACTGTGACAACTCTGTGTACGGAGGCTGGTGAGGAAGATGCCAGCTGTGCTGCATTCATCAAAAGATGCTGCTGTTTTCTGGAACATGGGGTCAACCTGCAGGCGCAGAATGAAGGAATGGAACAGATGGGTGGTGAGGTGTAGAAGCCTCTGCAGAAGATTTGTAAATACAAAGCCAAAGGGAGAAAGACTCATTGACTCATGCCTCTTTTTTCAGTGAGGAGAAAACTCTCACAGCGGCCTCACACAGCAGGATTAGACACAATTAAGGACCACCGTGTTACAACAGCAGAATTCAGACATGCCAGACGTGAGTCTAACAGCCCAAGAGAGGACACACAGTAAGGAAAACAATAAAAAGGCAAAAAATGAGGCGAGCTTTCCTTCCTCCACTCTTCCTCCACTCACCACTACAGAAGGTCCATCTCCACCCACCTCACATCTCCGATTGGCCTCTGTCACATTGATGTTGTTCAAGTTCTGTTCAATCGTTTTGAAGGAGTGCTTCTTCTTTGTTTGAACTCTCTTGGCAGAACTGGAAGCTGTACTGTCTTCTTCTGAAAGAAAAAGAAGCTGCAGTTAGAAAAACTTGCTAAAATATCCTACAGCTGAAGGCCAATACAACTGTGCTTCACTCTGTGCACACACACAAAAGCCCCGGGGGCATAAAGTGACCCAGGTAGGGATCCATTAGCACAAACCACCAACACTTCAGTGGCTGCTCAATGTGTTCCTTTTTATTTTGCCTCCTCTGTCTTAACAGCACATTTCTGTTTCAAAGCAAAGGACAGCGAAGCGTGGGGTGCTTCGTTCTCAAACATTTCAGATGAGGCCATTCCTGTTTTGCACTCAGATCTAGCTGGCCAAGTATTCAAGTACAGGACTGAGCATCAGGTTCTCATCTCAAACTTCCCCAGAAAAGAAACTCAGTATTTTGCAGCCCTCAAGAAGAAATAAATACACCAAGCTAGTGGCATTCTCCCAGCTCTATATATTTGGAGAAAGAAACAGCGCTTTGAAATTCAGAAGAACACAGGAAGTGTTGTGGGTGGAAGCAGGAAGAGCTTAACAGAAAAGGAGTGAACGGCACACCTTCTTCTGGGCTGCCCACTTCTTTTGCAGGTGCTGACTCCTTGCCTAAGCCTCCAAGAACTTTGTACGTGTCTGCATGGACCGCATCCACACGCACGGCGTAGATCTTCACGCTGGCATCGATGGTGCCAGCTGCCATCTAACAGAGCAACACAGGATGCAGTTTTTAGTGAGGAAGGAACAGAACACAGCAAGAGGTAAATGAAGAAGACGAGATGCAGACCTGAGTTTTTGAATGCTTCTGGAGCAACGAGGAACTATCAACAGCAAGGAGTCTTTGCTTGGATATTCCCTATTTTGATCTGTCCCTTCTGTCTCCTACACTCAAGTCACATCACCTTCTTTCCCACCACAGCCCTGCTCTGTTCCTGGCCAAAACATCCAATGTTTACCTCAGAAGCCTTATTATTAAAGCTCTCCTTTTGAAGGACCATCACTAAAAGAGGCACTTAGCCTTTAATTTCTGCAGTACCAAAGCAGTCAGCAGTGTTAAATTCCTCTAAAAATGACAGTGCTGCCTCTACCAGATCTCTTGGTGAACGCTCATTTATTTCAGATGTGTCATTTGTTAGAGCTTCAATTCAGAGACCCAACACCACCGTGAACAACTCACCTTGAAGTTGGTCAGCTCAGAGTCCTTCTGTTTCAGTATATCTGTCATGTAGTCTATCAGATGTAAGCCAAAAACATTCCTGGTGTTGATTTTCTGCAATACAAGTGCAGGTGAGAACGGAAACTCAAAACAGGATGCTGTCAACCTGCAAGCCATCAACCTGTGGGGTTCTCACAGACCACTCTGACCTGCCTGAAAGGCCCAAACCAGCTTTACACTGAGCTGACACATCAGAAAGAATGAATGCCATTCAGAGGGACCTTGAAAAACTTGGAAGGTGGACCTGTGTGAACCTAATGAAGTTCAACATAGCAAAGAGCAAGGTTTTACACTAGGTTTGGAGTAATCCCAGGTAAGTATACAGACTGGGAGAAGAAATACTTGAGAGCAGCCCTGCAGAGAAAGACCTGTGGGTCCTGGTGGATGAACAACTGAACATGACCCAACAGTGTACAGCTAAGAAGGCCAATGGCAGCCTGGGCTCTCTCAGCAGAGTGGTGACCAGCAGAGAAAGGTGACTGTCCCCCTCTGTTCCACCCTCATGAGGCCCAGTCTGCAGTATTGCATCCAGGTCTGGGACCCTCAGTACAGGAAAGATGTGGATCTGTTGGAGAGGGTCCAAAGGAGGCCATGAGGATGGTTAGAGGGCTGGAGCACCTCCCCTACAAAGACAAGCTGAGGGAGCTGGAGAAGAGAAGGCTGAGAGGAGACCTCATTGCTGCCTAATGGTATTTAAAAGGGGTTTATAAACAGGAGGAGAATAAGCCTTTTACAAGGGAAGGCAGAGACAGGACAAGGGAGAATGACTCTAAGCTTAAAGAGGGAAGATTTAGAATGGATGTTGGGGAAATTCTTCACAGAGAGCAGTGAGGTGCTGGAACAGCTGCCCAGAGAGGCTGTAAATGCCCCATCCATCCCTGCAGGTGTTCAAGGCCAGGTTGGATGGAGCCCTGGACAACCTGATAAAGCAGCAGATCTGAAGGCTGGCGACTCTGCCTGTGACAGGGGGTTGAAACTTGGCTGCCTTCCATCCCGAGCCATTCTACGATGACTCAGGAGCTGTGACACGTAGCAGAGGATCCCCCCCCAAATCCAGGTACGATCAAAGCAGGGAACCCACTCACGTTCTCAGCGGACAGCTTGATGCAGGCAGAGTAATGCTCCGAGATCTGCGCGTTCGTCCATCCCGACAGGGCCGGCAACGACGCGTCCGCCTGCCTGAGGGAAGGAAGCACGGCCGTGCCAGGGGAGCCGAGCCCGCCTGCCGTCCCCCCACGGCCCGGTCCTACCTGGGCACCGGAGAGCAGAGACTGAGCGGCGATTCGGTGCCGCCGAGCTGCAGATCCACCGCCCGCGAGCGCCGACGCTGCCGCCTTTCCCTCTCATCGTCGTTACCGGGACATTCCACCAACGTAGGGGTAGCCGAGGCGCTGAGAGAGCGCGCAGCCGGGGACTCCGTCGCCCCTCCGGCACCCCGGCCGCCCCTCCGCGGGGTCGCGGCCCTCATAGCAGCGGCGGGCTGAAGCTGCGCCCACCGCTCCGGAAGTTCCGCCGTCCAGCTCCCGCCCTCCCTTCATCCGTGGACCAATCAGCGCGCTCCTCTCTCCCTCTCCGCCAATCCAAAGCCGCGGGGGTCCCACGCGGCGCCGTCGCCTCCTAGTTTAAATTTGCCGCGCTCGCGGTGTAACGGTCGCCGCCTTCTGGTGCGGTGGAGCGGAGGTTTTGTTTCTCTCCTTCGCCTGCAGCGCTCCTGCCTTGCGGTTTATCTCACTAAATTCCTCCGTCATGTATCAGCCCGGGTTGCCCAGCCTGACCTTACACACCTCTAGGGGCAGGGAATCCCCAGCCTCTCTGGGCAGCTGTTCCAGCACCTCAGCACCCTCTGTGAAGAACTTCCCTGACATCCAATACAAACCTTCCCTCCTTGAGCTTAAAACCATTCCTTCTGGTCCTGTTGCTATCTACCCTTGTAAGGAACTGGCTATAGGGCCATGCCCAACAGGCAGTGGTTAATGGAGCTAAGTCCAGCTGGTGACCCGTTACAAGTGGTGTCCCCCATCTTTTTATCTTTATTGATGACCTAGATGAGGGCAGTGAGTGCACCCTCAGTTTGCAGGTGACACCAAGTTTAGAGGTGGTGTCGGTCTGTCTGAGGGTAGGGAGGCCCTTCAGAAGGATCCAGATAAGCTGGATTGCTGGGCTGAGGTGAAGGGGATGAGGTTCAACAAGGCCAAGTGCTGGGTCCTGCGTTTGGCCACAGCAACCCCATGCAGCGCTGCAGGAGGCTGGATGACTGTGAAGAGGAAAGGGACCTGGGGGTGCTGGTTGATGCTGAACATGAGCCAGCAGTGTGCCCAAGTGGCCAAAGGGGCCAAGGGCATCCTGGCCTGCATTAGAAATAGTGCGGCCAGCAGGAGCAGGGAGGTGAGCATCCCTCTGTACTGCATCTCAAGTGAGGCTGCATCTCAAGTCCTGTGTTCAGTTTTGGGCCCCTTGCTACAAAAAAAAGGACCTGGAACGTGTCCAGAGAAAGGCAGGGAAACTGGTGAGGGATCTGGAGCACAAGTCATGAGGAGCGGCTGAGGGAGCTGGGGTTGTTCAGTGTGGAGAAGAGGAGGCTCAGGGGAGACCTCACTGCACTCCACAGCTTCCTGAAGGGAGGCTGTGATGAGGAGGGCTTTGGCCTTTTCTCCCAGGCAACAACCGGGACCCGAGGAAACGGCCTCAAGTTGTAGCAGAGGAGGTTTAGGTTGGACATAAGGAAGAACTTTTTCTCTCAGGCACTGCAATGGCTGCCCAGGGAGGTGGTGGAGTCGCCGTCCCTGGCAGCATTCAAGAGGCCTCTGGATGAAGAGCTGCGAGATCTGGTTTAGTGCTTGTGGTAGCAGTGCTGATGGGAGGGCGGTTGCACAGGATGATCTTGCAGGTCGTTTCCAACCTTGTGATTCTATGATTCTGTGAAAAAGCTGGTTATAATCTCCTTTTAAATACTGGAAGGCTGTGATGACGTCTCCCTGCAGCTTTCCCACCAGACCCAGCAGCTCCCTCAACCCTTCTGCAATGGCCACAGTTGGATGCCTGAGTTCTTCCCAACGGTCTTCCAGCCTGAACCACTGGATGGTGCAAGAGGAAAAGATGTGCTTGGAGTCTAACTGCGGTCCTCAGAAAGAGATGCTGGGGAAAGACGCTGTGTGTGCTGCTGAGCCACCCGGGTCCCGTTCCCTGCTCCCCAGAGCTGAGGAATGGCTGTGCCATCAGATGGGTTTTGCACTGACTCCAACCATCCCCAAAAATGGCCATAGAATCAACTTCTGGAGATTGGCATCTGTTCATCAGCGTAACTGTTTTACCCTGGAAGCCCAGGGCACTTGTGCAAGTAGCAATTCAGAGGAACTCTGAGGGGAGGAAAAACCCTATAGGGCTTTTTTCTCATTTCCAAATGACTCAGGGTCAGAAGCAAAGAGTCTGACCCTCTTCTTGCTTGGCTCCAGGAGGGCCAGACTAAACTGGGGGGGCTGTAAAAGCCAAGTCACGCTTCATGATGCTTTCCTCCTAACAGAGCTTCTAGTGGCCACTGTAAACAAATCAGTATGTCCAGCTTTGCATCCCAAATAAAGGAGGCACAGGGAACTGTGAGGGTTTTTGATGTTCAGACGAATTATTCCTGCCCTTGCAATAGCGATGTGTGCAGCATTTGATTATCCCCTGCCATCAGCGGTGCAGGCGAGGACAGAAATATTCATGTTCTGTATTTAACTGGAAATTAAGAGAATGCATCATCTGGTGACAGGAACTTCTACAAGTGGCTGCTTCCCGCTCAGTCAGCTCCCAGACCTCTACATCACTGGGGGGATATTGGGAAACTTGATTAATGACTGGTGGATATTTGCTGCAGGATGCATTCCCCAAAGTCACCCACAACTGATGGAGGTGTGCAGGGATTCTTCCCCTCTTGGAGGAGCACTGCGGGCTCTTACAAGGTCTGCTAAAGTAGCTGGGAAGTGACTCAAAAGGCTGCCTGCCTGCCTGCTGAAGCACTGGTGCTTCTCCACCTGTCTGCCTGCACTGTGCCAGGGCTGCGGGAAGCTTTGGGGTGACTGAACTCAGAGGATGTCTCTGAGCTGCAGGCGAGCGCTGGAGAAGAAGGGAAAGTTGAGACGAGTGGGAAGGGGAGCACTCCTATGTGACTGCAGCTGCCGTGATGGATTTAAAACCTCACTGGTTGTGTCCTGCTGAGCTCCTCAGCAAGTTCCAGGGTGAGATGTGCTGTCTGCTCCGGACCCACAACACAGGTAGCGTAGCAACAGGGATCTTCCCCAGCTGCAAGGTTAAAAATAGAGCCAGGGAATATTGAGCTTGCAGCCTTTGGGGTTCCTGAGGCTGCTGCTGGTTGCGAGCATCTGACTTGGGCTCAACTCTGGGCACTTGCCTGTGACAAAGGGTTTGCCAGACTCTGGGTTATTGCGTGGGTCTGCAGCCTTTCTGTGCACACACACAGTCACCTTGTGTCTGGGGACTGCTGCAGTGTCTGAGGTTGATGTTGCACAAGCAGGGTCTCCACTTGTTGTACCCTTCTACAAATGACCCATGAACTAAAGATTATCTGGTAATTTCCATGCGCTGCCGCAGACACTGCAGGAGCACTTATTAACTTGCTGCTACTATTTTTGTTTAAACAAATGCAGCTCTTCTCAGTAATAAAAAGTGATTTGATACCTGCTCAGCTGCTGCCACTGACCAGGAAGGAAGGCGCTCGGTTTTGGTTTTCATTGCAGATCCTTTTTGGAGACAGACGTCCTATGCTCAGCCTCTCATTTGTTTCTCCCTTCCAGAGTACGTTCTGTTTTTAGCTTTGTTTGTTATTGTTGCAGAGCTACTTCTGTCTGGCCTTGCTCATACCTAGGGGCACAAGGAAGAGATTTAGACCTCAGAAGAGGTAAATGGTTTGATTTTTCTAGCTCATTAGGGAGGCCTGCTTTATGTCTGGAAAGGCTGTGGCACAGATTACACTAACACAAGTTGGACTTGGTTTGTTTTTGTTTTTGTTTTTCTTTTGGCCCTCTGTTAATGAATGCAATTATGAGCAGGGAGGTTAGTGGGCAAGGGGCCGTACGGTGGTGTCAGGCTAAGGGTGGCTCACATCTCCCTTTGCAGACTCCTGGCTCGTTTCCTATAAACACCGATGGTTGGAACTTTTGTTTGATAAAACTCCTCTCACGTTTTATCACCGGTTGGAGTATTTGTACTATGAAATCCGGGATTTCACAGACTCTGTAGCAGCTGTAAAGTGAAATAACTCCTCACATGCAGAGATTTATAAGCCATCCGTAGCAAGGCTGCAGCGCAGGTGATGCTTCCAGCTGAGAAGTCCTCAAGGTTCTGACAGAGCAATCAGGATTGCAGGGTTGGAAGCATTTGAGGGATGCCGTGTGCTGAAAATCCTCTGAGGCCACTGGAGCCAGCATCAGCCACGCTGGCACAGCACGGTGTTGGTGGCTGGCTGTGCCCACACGTGTCTTGTGTTGTTCTGGGCGACTTTCCCTTGCAGATGGAGGGTGAGAAATGTGCAGGCTGTTCTGGGCTCAGCTGCCACAGTTCCCAAGGAGCTGCAGCAGTCGTTTCTGAGGAACCCACTGCAGAGATGACAGTGCCCACAGCAGTCCAGCTGGAACTGAGGCATGCTTATTCAGGCCAATTTATTTTGGGATTTAGGAGTCTTAGCAGTTTCAAAGAATGTTGGCGATGGTGAATGAGGGGTTAGAGCAGTGCTGGGTGTGCATGGCGGGGAGCAGGATGGGACACACAGTCTGGTGATAGGGCAAGCTTAGGGATTCCCTCTATCCAAGGGGGAAAGAGTGAGTCGCTGAGCTCTGAGTCTTTGTGTAGGCTGACAGCTGGACTGGTGTTTTTGGAAGCATGAACACCTTGGGAAGTGCTTTGAATGGCCTGTGCCTCTGAAGAGCAGGGCAGAAAATCAAATAGTTTGAAGAGCAGGACAGCTCATTTAGCCTCACTTCTTAGCATTCCTCAAAAGGAAGAACTTTGTAGATGGATGTGGGGAGAGCATCTTGGGCCTGAGATGCTCTGTAGAGCCTTACTGCTGTCTACTCCACCTCCTAAGCATGTTGAGCAGCTCTGACATCTCCGGACACGTGCCCTGTGTGCTTCTGCTGCCCTTTATGCTGCTGGTCAAATCCCAGTGTGGATACCACCATCTGGGTGTCAAACATCTGAGGGTTTTGTGGGGTGAGGTGGTAACACAGTAATGTTAGTGCTGCAAGATAAAGTCTTAACTTCATCTAAGAGGGACTCAGATCTGGTGAGTGTGGCTGGAGAGTTATTGCTGTGCTCCAATTCAGTCGTGGATTCTCAGCCTTCTAGATCTGTGTGATCTTATCTTGGTGAAAGGCAGCAGGACTGGTGTTGGTGGGGCTGAAATCACATGCAATCTTTGTTTTCTTCTAAAGGCTGTGAGGTACCAGAAGTGTCATGCAAAGAGACCTGCTGCTCTTTGAGGTGAGGACTCCTAAATTCCTCAGTTTCAGAGCAGATTTGCAGCCATTTGATGATGCCATGCATCAACCTGGACAGCACAACCTGCTTTGCAATAAATAGGAATCATATTTTTGGAAGTGTTTTGCATGCTAATGCTCTTAGGAGTGTGAAATGCTGCTGTTCATAATGACTGTGCCTCCAGGAGAAGCGTGCTGCTTGACACTTCAGCCTTCTGTAGCCAGAATGTTTTGGTTGGAAAGCTTATAGCTGCTTATATGAAAGTGAAAGGGGAAGGCAGGATCAGCACAGGCTGTTCCTGTGGGTGCACTGGTTGTGGCAGGATCTCTGTCCTGGGAGATGTTCCAGGATGAGGCCTTGAGCAACCTGATGTCATGCAATGAGACCAGCAGTCACACCAGGACGTACCAGACCCCTCTGTGACACTTCTCTGCCCATCACATTGCTCAAATTAATCACATTTGACTTTTAATTGAACTCATCAGAACCATCGCCATGCTCAAGCATCCTCTTTAGCAGTAATTGTTCTCTCCCACTCCCTTCCTTTCCTTGGTTGCTTCTCAGGTGTTTGGGTCTTGCTGATGCAAAGCCCTCTTGATGTGTTTACTTGGCTGCACCAAGAATATGGGAACTGCTCTTAATCCTCATTTCACACCTGCAATTGGATTGGGTTGATTTTTGAATCGCCACCGCAGGTTCTCAGATCTTTCATTAGCTGATGCTTGATTCATTTAGTTCAGTGACAAAACATAATTGCTTGTCTGAACAAGCAGGCCACGTTGAAGTGGTGTCTGTAATTCACTGAGTAACTTCATTTGTGAGAGGGAAACCAAAACCCACCACGATCTGTGCAGAAATTGAAGTGAGGAGGCCAGGAGGTCAGATGAAAAACAGGAAGAACCCTCTGCCCTCCACGCACTTCACACTTAAGCTGCTTCTCATTCAGCTCTTTGGCATAATGATGTAACACAGCATTTGGTGCTATGGAAACCCCAGTTTAAATACTGGTGCACAGCAGCAAGCAATTGACTATCCCTAATTTTCATTTTCTGAGGATATTTTTGACTCGTGCATTAAGCAAACATTTATGCCAAGCACTGTGGAATCCAGAAACGTTAATCAAGTTGAACTTATGTCTTTACTGTAGTAAATAATCAGACTGATGGTGTCACTGATGTCTGCACTACCTGCCGGGATGGCTGTCAGCAGCTATAAAAAGACAAGAGTACAGGTGCAAACAAGCTGCTGCTCTGGGCAGCTGCTCTGTTGTGCTCATATTCATCCTGCTTTCACTGCTGTACCACAGCCTGACTTCTTGTCTCAGCTGCACATCTGGGCTTTGCTCTGATAACGAGACCGGAGGGTTTTGCAGGTACTGTTCCAGTGTGTGCTGCCTGCTGTGCCAGAGGGTGATGGCATCCAACAAGCAGCAGAGCTCTCAGCTGGGGAAGCAGGATACTGATAGAGAAGAGCTCTGCAGTGCTTTGCCAGGCAGCAAATACAGGGCACAATCCCTCTGTCCATTTCCTTAAATCCTTCCCACCCTGATGCAAACCCATCGGGGCACTTTTGATTTGGAGGTTTCCAGATCTGATTGCAGGGGGAAGAAATGAGCAAATTGCTATGGGCCGGGGCACGGGAAATTTGGATTTGCTTGTATGATTTCTGCAGCAGATCACTGTGACAGTGAGCATTTCTTACAGCAAAGAAGCATGTTCCTGTCATGTGCATGTGGGAAGTGATGCGAACCCCTTTGGGAAGGGCGGTGTGTTGATGCTGACCTCACCTTTGGATGATCTTTAAGGTCTTTTCCAACCTGAGTGATTCTATGATTCTATGAGACGAACTGACTCTGAGAAGTGAGATCTGCTTTCACATTCCCACTGCAGAGAGGTTCTCTGGGAGCACAGCAGCACTGTGTGACACCATCCATCCTCTCCCTTTTGCACGATAAAGTAACCCGTGGAAATAAAGAAGCAGGGCTTAATAGGCATATGATGCCCATCAAAAGTGTCTCAGCAATGCTCCTCTAATTAACAGCTGCAAATTATAACCTGCTCTTGGTTCACCCATTCTGCCCTACTCCCACCATGCTGCTGGTCACTGCCTCCCACAGCCGTGGGCTCATTAACCAGTTGCAAGAGAGCCTCAACAAAAGAAACATTTATTTATGAAAATCCACAGGGACTTAACAAACCCAATAATTAGAGAGGCCATTTGGAACAGGAGGGCTCTGTGTAGGAAAGCTTTTGCTGTACGGAGATGCTACCAAGGGAGGAACCTCACCCAAAGCTCCTATGCACTGCACCACACCAAATACCCAAACCCTAAATGTACGCTGCAGCCCAGCTCGTCCCATCACATCCCTCAGGCGTATTGTAATGCACTGAAACTGGACGCCTTTTGTCTGGCACGGAAAGGTTAAGGGCAGAGACACCAGAGAGTCTTCTGGTACCCTCAGCTGCTGTTGGGATTCATTGTCCCTCTGACATGCCCCAGCGAGCACATTTCACTGATGGGGTGTGACAGAAGCTCCAACAGGGGTGGTATTTTGGGCAGATGAGCCATGAGAGAAGGGGCCAAGTTGGATGTTTTCATGAAAACCACTGTGTGAATGACTCAGCTGGAGACAGGTTTGGGGATGCAGGATGGTGTGATTGGGCTAACAGGTTGCTGAAGCCTGAAAGTTGTGTGGTTGAGTTTTGTTTCTGTAATTATTAATAGCAAGCAAAAGCGAGGTGCTCTCGTGCTGGGAGCCTTGGCTGTGTGGTCTTGCATTTCAAAGAATCAGGAAGGAGGCAAAGAAACTCTCTTAATTTGCACTTGAATTTCTAAGCAGAGATCTGAAAGCAAACTAGAAAACCGGGCTTAACAAAGTAGGAAAAGCCTCTGTATTGCCACTGAGCTGTGATAGGAAATCTGCTGGATGTACTGCAGCAGCTGGCGTGATCAGAGGGCCCATCCCCTTCCAAGCAGGTGAGTCTTTTAATGGGCATCTCAGTCTTCAAAAGAAGACTTCACTGTGGCTTTTGCACACCAAGAACACGGTGAACGCAGCATGTCATCAGCATGGACACAGCCCTGCTGCAAACACCCCATGTCACAGGTTGGCCTGGAGCCTAAACGTTACAGAAGCCTTATTCGGGTTCCCACCTCCACCTGTGAGACAGCTTGGCACTTGGAGTTGGGAAAGCCCTTGGCTTTGGACATGTTCCCATTTACCCAGAGCATTTTGCTTTTCCTGTGTTGGCTTCATCTGATGGAAACTTCCACTAGAGACATTCCTACCCGCTTGGACATCCCAGTTTGTAGCCGGTGGGAATTCTGCCTGCTTTATCTCAAGAGACAGCTTTGTACAAGGGGCACAAGAAGCATTTCAGGCTGCAAGCCTTGAACTGAGGTCTCCATGCACTCTCTTGGGGTTATCTCCTGTTTCAACTGAGCATTGCTTGTGAGAAGACGGCCGTCATTTCTCTGCACATCTCATGGTCGCAGCGTCCTGAGGGCATCAGACACGGGGGGGAAAAAAGGCAGCCTGGTTATTTTCTGTGCATTTGAATGCTGCTTTCTGTAAGCTCATAACTCAAACTTGTGTGTTCAAGGATGGTGCGTGCGGACCAGATCTCCGCTGGCCTTACTTGCTGGCTCTCCAGTCCACTTTGAGACATTCATTTTTGCCTTCATTTTGGGCTGGCAGCTGGAAGTAAATCAGCATTTGGCTCTGGTTTGTAGCACCTTCTCATGTATTGGCAGCACAGCACCTGAGGAGCTTGTGGCAAAATTCAGCCCACTTTGTGAGTCTGATTTCTGCACCAAAAAAGTGAGAGATTATGCCAGCAGCTCTTGAGCGGGAAGGAGCAGTCAATACAACAGCCCCAGACTGCTGGGTTTGTTCCTAACAAGCTACATTTACCAACTTCTCATTTTATTTCATTATTCCCCCCTTCCATACATTTACTGACCAAAGGAGCCCTTGCTGAGAGCAGCCCCTGGTGAAAATTGCACCATCAGAACAGGACTAAAACATAACAAACATCCAAGTTACACATCATAACCTTAATGTTTCATACACAAGCCAGGGAGAGGAAAAGAGAAACGTTTCCCTGGTTAAAACAAAATCCAGAAAGTGTGAGTGAAATCATTTCTACTCTCCCCTGAGTCAAAATTCCTGCAAAATTCATGTCATCCTTCCAACATTTTATGCTGACAAAGCTTTGTTTTTCCAACGGAAACCTACTGTGCCTCTTTCTGAGCAGCTCCAGGCACTTCCAGGTTTTGAAGAACTTGTGCATTCAGTCAGTTCTGCTCCAGAGACTTCCAAAATCCATGTGTGACCTATCGCCTTAGGCCCAGTATGAGATCACAGTGATTGATTTTGGCACAGATGAATGATTAATGGCAACCAAAGCCTGGCTTAGTTCCGAAATCCCTTCCAAGACCCCTGATTTGATGAGCTGAGCTGTGTTGTGGAGTGGATCTTTGCAGAATAGTGGGTGCTGGAGATGAGCTGAGGCTACAAACCACCATTTCCAGCTGAAGCACTGAGTGGCCGGCGGCGCCACAAGGGTATTCTGAAGTTGAAAACAGCATTTCTGCTTGATTTTGGTATTGAATACCTCTCTGGATACTCATCTGGGAAGGACAGAATGAAATTAAAGTTGGGAGCAGGAAAGATTTATTCATTTTCCCATGGAGGTTGGATGCACTGAGAGACACCTGCTGCAGAGAGCAGGGAAGTGCCTGCCAGCATTGTACTTCTGCTTTAAGAGAAAAACCCAGCTCTGCTCCATTTCTGCAGCCTATCAGCACATGGCAGGTTGGAGAGGCAGAGAGCAAGATGGAGGCCAGAGAAACCTTGCTTGTATTTGAAGATGAGCCATGATGGAACACATGAAACCAGTCTGAAGCTTTTGCTCTTGGGTTCACTCAAGCATCACAGGTGAGCAGCAGCACAGCAGGAGATGAAAAAACAGCACAGACAGAAGCCAGTACATTAAAACCAGGTGATGATGCTGGGTGGATCACACACTGGAGCATCCTGGTGAAGGAAAGGTATGGCAGCATCCAGATGGGTGGCTTATGGAGCTTGGGAGCCGCTTAGGTGAGTGTGTTGGAGTAGAAGCTGAAGCTTTCGGAGACAGTTTTGGAGTCACTGCGTGAGGAGCCATTGGAGGTCATGTCTACAGAGAGGCGTTTGCCCTTTTTGCTCTCTTCCAGCTCCTCCTCAGCTGCCCCAACCGCCAAGGACACGGTGGTCTCTATCCGGCTGACCTTGTACATGCTGCTCTGCGTCTGCAGGTACCTGGCTGACTTCATCTCCAGGCCCTCGTACTCAGCAGCACTGACGAATGGGCACCACCGGAATGCATGCTTGAATCCCACGCGGAACCTGGGGGGACAGAAGGATTGCAGAGAGGCAGGGGTGAGGAAAGTGGGGATGGGGAGAGGAACCCACTGGACATGAGAGGCCAGAGCTAAACACTGCTGAACAGTGAAACAGACATTGCTTTCCATTCAGATGTGAAAATAAAAACAAAAAACCCCCACTGATAAATCCCAATGAGGAGTAGAGAGGGTTGTTTTGAAACATGAATGACTTCAGATCCCACAGAGACTTCAGGGAAAACTTATTGAGGTGAGTCTTGTCCCCACAACAAACACAATCCCTGGAAGAGGACAGAACAGCGCCATCCTAGAACACCTCTATCCAAAGTCTCCTCCATCAGAGCCCTCTGTGTTTCTCTCTTCTCCCTGCCCTGCTGTGCTGAGCTCAAACCCACCTGTCATTGAGGCAGCAGTAGATGATGGGGTTGTACATGGTGGAGCTCATGGCCAGCCACATGACAGCCAGATAGACCTGCTGGATGAACTTCTGCAGGTACCACTCGGGGTTGAAATACTGCAGGGTGAAGTAGATGTGGTAGGGCAGCCAGCAGAGCGCGAACGTGCACACGACAATGATCATCATCTTCACCACCTGCGAGGAAAAGAGAGCGCAGGGCAGGGAGGACTTGTGTCACAAGTCACCCTCCACACACCTCAGAGACCTTTCAGCAGGGAACACTCGCTCGGCATCACGGAGGACGCACGTTCGGAGGACGCTTTCTGCTCCTTTAGGAACAACAACCTGTTTCCATCTTGCTACATTCTTTTTGGCTGTGGTCAGTCGGGATTGAGTGTGAATGATGGCTGCTAATGTGCCTGAGGTTCCTTACCTTCCTCTTTGCTGAGACCTGCTCGTGGTAGCGGTCGGAGGAGTCACCGGGTATCTCGCTTGCCCAGAGGGTGATGCTGACCACGGTGTAGGCACAGCCTATCACCAGCAGTGGCAAGAAGTAGATCAGGACAGTCATGCAGAAGTGATACCTAGAAAAGATGATGGCTGTTGAGTGCATCCTCTACCTAGTCGGCCTGTTTTCTTGCAAACCAACCTTGGAAGCACAGCTTCACAAGGGCAGAGGGATTGTAGCATGATTCCTCTGGTGCCTGGAACCAGGAATAATTCCCCAGTTTCATCCCAATCTCTCCCAAGCCTCCACTGCTGGCTTCTGGCATGCCAGCACCCTCCAGAGATGGGAGAGAGAAGCCAGTGAAAGACTTATGTTACCTGTGCATAGCAAAGACATCTTAGCTGATGTAGCTCTACTGTCACATCTACTTTATTTACACCCTAATTTATCCTGAAGGTGAAAACTCATCCTTGTCAAATCTTTCATCTAGCAGTCCTGTGCAAAGGTATTAAAACAAGGCAAACACAAAACAGAACATACGTAAAGGATAGGGTTGGCAAAGGGGGTTGGACTAGTGGATCTCTGGAGGTCCCTTCCAGCTCCCACAACTCTGTGACTCTGTGATAGGAACTTTAAAGAGAAATGCAGGATTTCCCTGCATGTCAAATGCAAGGTCTTAGCTTGGACTCCTGATCCACCATAGGTTTGGCTCTGCTCAGGCAGCAGAAGACATCTCAGTCCCCACTGCTGTAAACACAGCTGGGAGCAGCTCCATGCACAATGCACAGAAGTTGAGCTGCGGGAAGCTCTTGCTAGCAAAAGGTCAACGTGCAGTTCATAAAAGCAGTGTGGTAGAAATAGCCTTTGCCTCCAGTGCAGCACTGCTCCAAGCTGTGTTCCTTCCCAGTGCTGATCCAACTGGTTGGTCTTCCGCACTCATGGGGAGGGCAGGATCTTTGCATCCCTTTATAACGCGGATAAAGGCTCTGTAGCCTTGCTCTGTTCTTGCACTCTCTCCTCCTAGGAGCTCAGATTGAATAATCTCTCCAAAGTGTAAGTCGTGGGTCAGGCTCGTGCCTGATGCAACTCCTTCTGCTCTGGCAGGGGCGAGGTTGGCCCCAGACCCACACTGCCATGCCATCTCCTCCTTGTTTTGTACCTGCAATTTCATTTGGTCTCCTCTCCACCCAGGGCTAATCGCATTTCAGCTGGATTTTGTAGGACTGTTTTCTATTTTGCTAATTAAAGAGGCGTCTCTGTGGCTCCATGATGAAGATTTCATTGTTGCTGTGCAAAGCAGGGTCTTAAACAAGCTGCGAAGTATGGAGAGTGATGCACAAAAGCCCCAGAGCAACCATTAAATAATGCAAGCAAGACACGTCCTTATTTTCAGAGCCACAGAAGCATGGCAAGGAGAGGGACTGCCAACACATCCTGCTTTTTGGTTCATTACTTTTGTATTTTGGATGAAACCCATCCATTTATTACTCTACAAGGATCATAGCATGAGAGCAGGCAGGGAAGCCTGGATTTTGTGATTTGGAAGTCTTCAGTGTGGGGATTTAGTAACTTGTGAAGAACAGGGGAGCACGTAGCAGAGATGACAGGGACACGGGAGGAGGCAGCTGCTGTCTGGACTGTGGGCTGGTATCTCCCTGATAAGCCAATGAGTGGTGCAGTTTTGCCCCTTAATGAATCAAAATGAATGGAAGGGAGCTGAGTCACCAGCTCCTGGTGCAGATGCAGCACCTCCTGCCTTAAATAATTGCACTACAGCCGTGCAAGCAGGAATGGTGTTTGACAGGGGCCCAAACACCCATCTGCAGTTATTTTGGGGGCAGTAAGATAACATATGTGATCTCTGGCTCTCTGCAAGTAGGTTCCCACGATTTGGACAGCATTTTGTGCTACGGCTGAGCTGCAAACTATTTTCAGTCCTCAGCAGCTGTTTGAGATTTGTCTACAGAAAAGCCTCAGTTTAGCATCTTCTCTCCTGGCTGCCCTCAACTGTTTGCTAAATGCCCTGCTCACCAAAGAGCTTGGGATGAGCAGGCTTTGGGGTGGCACCCAGCTTCCAAATTATCCGTGGGTCAGTAGTGGTGTTTTGCTCTTGAGTCAACTCTTGAAAAGGCAATGGCTCTGGTAGATGGCCAAGCGGTGAATGACTTGTCAAAGTGAGGCCCTGGGCCTGTGCTGGTCACTTCTTTGTGCTGGGGGACTTGGGGGGCTCAACCCTCTTGGGCTGAGTTTCTTCATGCTGGCTGCATTTATTGCAGTTGCATGGAATCGTGGAGGTTGAAAAACACTTTGGATGTCAGCGGGGCCATCCTCAGCTCAGCTCTTGCTTTGTGGACAGGCTCACGTTGGCTTTGAGCACTTTTTCCTGTGTGCACATCCCCTGCTTTGCCTCTAGCACGATTTCACAGCACTAATTCATTGCTCTGTGGGACTGGAGTCGCAAAGGTTGTTTTTTTTCCCTCCTTTTCCTCATGACATTTAGCTCACTGCATGACTCAGACCTCAAAGAGCAAACTGTGGAGGACCATGTGCTGGCAGTCCAGCAGGATTGCCCAGACCTGTTAGAAATGCCAGATGTAATTAGCTGGAACCCTGGTGGGTAGGAAGGAATGGCTGCTGAGCCCTCCTGTCCAGGCATCCACCTTTCATCCTAAGCTGGTTCTGCAAAGGCCTCTTTTCAGAGCTTGTTTTTTGAAGCACTTGAGTGAATTTTTGAGGCGTTTGGGCTCAACACATCCCCAGACAGTTTGCTCTGTTACTGCCTGGCCAAGGTACACCTGATACAACGCTATTTACTCCTTACAGGAGTAAATCTCACCCTAGGAAGCTGTAAAGATGTAAGCTGAAGGAAAGGTGCTACAAAAAAACAGAGCCATGCAGCCCCTGGGCGTAATGCAGACTGCATCCCACAGTTGCATCTTAGCAGTTGGATATGAGTTTCCCTCAAGGATGAGCACTGTAGAAGGGCTGGGAGCTCACACAGCATGGACCACAAGGAGCACCAAACTCAGCTTAATTAACCTCAGTGTGCCTCACCATGCTATAGATGCAGATCTTGCTACCATCAGCCATGTAGCACCAGCCTTACCCCGGGTGGGCGGAGGATTTCCCCATCCCAAGGAGCCTTCGTCCCTTCTCAGCCTTCCCCACTTCCTTTTATTAATTTTTCTAAAATACTTTTTCTACTTTTTTTCTTAATAGGTCAATTTGTCCATTCTGCTTGGAAATTCTGACTCACGTTTTTCCATACACGTCGGTGCTGTGCTCCGGCCATGCCACCAGGCACACCAATCGGCCTGGCAGCTCCTCTGTCACCGAATAGTAGCCCTGTGGGAAGGCCAGCAGGAAGGCCAGGAGCCAGATGACACCAATGACCACTTTGGTGGCGGTGGCTGAGAGCCGGGGCTGCAGCGGGTGGATGATGGCCATGTACCTGCAAGGTGAGCAAGAGAAGAAATCAAAGCTTGCAAGCTTTGGAGGCTGTCTCAGATCCCCTGTGTGTGTGTTGTGCTTCTGACACCTGCTTCGTGCATCTTAGCAGCCCTCCATGCCACACACAGAGCATCCAATTCTTTCACACCCAACCAATTCTCTTGCACACTCCGTGGCCTCAATATCTTTCTTGTAGTGAGGGGCTCAGATCTGTACTGTACTCAGATCTGATGCTGTTGTCTGGCAGCACCTCTGTTGGCAGCACTCAATAGTTTTGCACTGGAGCAAAATCATATCTATACAGTAAATTGCAGTGCAAAGGCTTCCAAATAGGAGAACCGAAACGAAGCATGCTGGAGCTGCCCCATATCTGCCTGGCTCATGGGATCTTCCATCCTGAACATCAGTCATCATACATGAGGCAGACTCCAGTGACGACGGGGCAGATTGAATTTATCCTTCTGCAAATCTGGTTTTGCAAAGCTGACAGCAGCCAGCAGCGCTGGAAGGATTAAGTGAGCACACTGCAAATGTTTTATTTCCCTCCCCCATGTCAAGCTTTGGAAACACTGTCGTCATGCGACGAGGAGAAACGTTGCATTGCTCTGCATGTTACAGCCTGAGGCATTCGCAGTGTTCTCTGTTCCTCCACTCCCCCCCTACTTTTTTCAGACGATGGACAGTTTTTTGCTTTTCGTTTTCTCCTGGATGAAAATAGTCCCCGTGTTCCATTATGTGTCCATTTGCTGTGAAAAAGGTGCAGAGATTAATAGAGAACTACGCACCACCATCAGCTCTTCCTCTGCCCTGGGGTACCAAACCTTATCAGCTTTGTGCAGCTGCAAATTCACCTGATAATTATCCTTCTAAAATCTCTGCGAGATCTTTGGCGCCAGAAACAGAAGCTGGTGAGTAAAAGTGAAGGGAATGGATGCTGGCACTGCTCTGCACAGCAGCCAGCAACACACTGAGCTCCAGGCTTCTACATCCCCACTGCTCCACCATGGGAACTGGAGGAGGTTTGGTTGGGGTTATCCTATGGTACTGCTGCTCTGATCTAATTTCTGCCACTGCACTTTGGAGGATTTTCCTTATCAGATTCAAGCACTTTGTGGCTGCAGAAACCCTCGCAGGTAATAAAATGCTCAAACAATTGATAAAACAACGAGTTAAGCCCCAACCCCTTTACCCAGAGACCTTTCCAACCACCACCGATCTGTCTGTGATGCTCTGGTGTCCACATAGAGAGAAGACAGCAAAATTAATATAACCGAAGAGTCAAAAAAGAAAACAAAAATGCCAGCATTGCAAGGATGGGGAGAGGGGGGCAGGAGGAAGCCAACCAGTGGTGCTTTAGGAAACACTGGCCCTACATTCTACTTTTTGGCAGCAATTTCCAAACTGCCAGGAAAAAGGCTCATAAGGGTCCGGGCTGCTTAGAGGATCTGGTGATACTGGAGATAGATGGAAATGTGCAAACATCCTGAGAATAATTTGATCATTATTTCATATTAAAATACTGCCTAATTAAATAATAATTGTATCAGCAAGCAGAGAGTTGTCTCAACATTTTAATAACTGCATCCTTGCTGTTTTTTTCTTTTGCTTGACAAGAACATTTGATGCAAAATTACACTGCAGGGAAGAGAGGAGCACAGAATATGGTTTCGTGGCCTCCTTAGCTCAAGTAACAGCCACTGTTATGCTCATATTGGGGTGGGAAAGCTCCAGTGGGGAAACAAAGCAGCTTCTTTTGCCTTCTTCCAGTGCTGGGTCCATCCATCCCAACCATCTCTCAGTTCCTTGCTGACTGGTCGAGCTTTCCAGTTTCTTTCCCCTATAGGTTGGTGTGTCTTCCTTTCTGGGGAAGCACCTATCATGTTTCAGGGCACCTGCAAGTTGCTGGTGGTCCTGCAGGCAGATGCATGCCTGATTTGGGGCACAAACACATCAATCAGAGCAAAGTGCTGCACGTCCCAGTTACTCTAGTGGGAAGCAGATTCTTAAAAGCAGGCTAATGAGTTTATTCGCTCGTATTTCTCCTTGCAAAGTGCCTCTGTGGCCCCGCTCTGCCCATCTCCCTGTGTCCTATTAGAGAGATTTATTCTCCACTGCTCAGGAGGGCGGTTCTCCTGGCCAGACAGGAGCGGTGGTTTGCAGGAGCTGGGGAGGGGAAGGCATATCCCCATGGGCAGCTGGTGAAGAACCACCGTGGGCTCCTGACGTCCCATTTTTCTATGGGGAGAGGGTCCTTGATTGAAGATTTAAGGGCAGATTTTCTGCATTAATGAAAAGGTTTTGTTCCTGATGGGCTGTAAGTGTTCTGAGGGGGTGAAGCGCATACTGGGCTGCAGGAGACGTTGGGTTGGGAAGAATTAATGATACCTCTTCCTCAAGATGAAATGGCCTGCTCTGCTTGCCTTTGGGATGGGAGCTTCACACCTGATGGTTAGTTTTGCAAGCCCAGGGCTGCCCAGCTCCTTTCACCTTCATGCTAATGCTCATCCCTTTTTCTTTCCCCCCAGAACTCAATGGGACTGAAGACTGCTCCATTTGCCAGCAGCTTTATATATCCACTGCACTGAAGGACACAACTTTAAGCCAGATGCTTTCCTTTTGGTGACGTAGGTAATGCCATTTGCTGTTGTTTTAAATATTTTATTGTATTTCGGACTGGGGGGGTTGTTACCATGGTGAAGCAATAGCATCTGAGTACAGCATTGTAGCAGGGCAGCTCTGAGTGTATCACTTATTACGTAGCAAGATGGCTACACTGCCTCAAATGCACTATCAATTGCATCTGGAAAGCTGGAGCCTGCCTGGAGAATGAACACGACACATTTCTTTTTTTGCCAAATGCAGACAGAGGACCAAAGCCCAGAATTGGCAGCAGGCTGGGGAGGAGGCAGAGGGCCCCCCAGTGTTCATTGCATTGCTGATAGCGATGAGATGGGAGAGGAGGATCCAAAGCACAGCACAGCCCTCTCGGGGGCTCTGTGACCTCACCAAGTGCTGCTTAAGGAAAGCAGGAAGCCCCATGGCACCACTTAGAGCTGAGGAACGAATGGGGGAAACGCAGGGCTGACAAATCTGAGATCTGTTGCACTCAGTGCATGCGCGAATCCAGCTGAGCCATCGAAGTGTTAAGAACAAACTAAGGGCTAAATTAGGAAAGCCATCAAACAAGCAGAATATCTCCCCTCCAGCAGCTCGTGCCACTGCTCTGCTTGCAGCTGAGCACCTCAGAGGCATGTCTAACACCTGAGCTCCTACACTGCCCAGCCACCCACCAGCCTGTTGCTATTTCATCTTCATCACATATTTATCACAGCAGAAGAGGAAGAAAACAAGGATGCCAGTTAGCTTTTGACCTGCTGAATTCAGCTCGTCCCCCCAGGCTCCCTTCCCTCCCACTTGCTCTTCTTCCAAATCCCATCCCAGCAGGGCGCGGTTACGCATTGTCAGGCGCAAATCAAAGTTCTGCCCTGCAAGCCCCAGAAGACCATTAAGTCAAGATTAAAAGAACTTGTGCTATATTAGGGCGTAAATGACTAATTAATATGTCTGCGCACTGATGTAATTTGTCCTCTCCAGAGGGTTTCTATCTGCAGTAATCGCCTCTTGGGGAAGGCACGGGGTCATTGAGCTGGCGAATGTATTCCTGGTATTCAGCTGGTTCATCTAAACTGGGAGTTCAAGCTTGCAAGGATAAATAATTTTCCAAGCCAGCTTTTCTGATGCATATAGTATGGGGTTGTGGAGATATGAACAGGTCTCAGCTGCAGGCTGGTGGCTTTAGGAGCCGTGGAGGTGAAGGAAGCCTTGCAGGTTTGGTGTTTCTGCAGCTCCTGCTGGCACATGGATGGATTTTGAGACACTTAATGGAGTGTGATTAAAAAAAAAAGAAGCATATAAATAGGATCCCAGTTTGATTGCCCAGCCCTGCGTGCTGGTCTGGCTCTGATTCCATAAATACTCCAGGATCCTCAGCAAGGAGGTCCATCCCTCCTGCAGCAGTTTGCTAACAGCGTGGGCGAGTGGCAGGCCCAAGGACAGGGACAATGCAATGCCTGCTGTTCCGTGATGCTCCATCCTGCTCCTCACAGATACTGGAGGGGAAACAGGAAAAACCCAACTCTGGATGTCCCTACACGTGGCTGCAAAGCGGCTTGGACACAACACGGGCTCCCAGTTTTCCTGGGAAGCTGGAGAAAGCAGAATCTCACGGCTCTTTCTTTGAAGTGCACGCGTTCATAGCGTTCAAAGCCAGAAGGGGACGCGTTGTGCTGTGGAACACACACACCCAATGATGAAGGCCATGCTGTGCAGTTCCAGAGTTGGGGCTGCTTGGCCCCAACTGCTGCAGGATGCTGCGTGGCAGTGGCACTGCTTTTCCTGAGGAGGCCTTCCAGCTGCCAGCCCCAGCTCCTGCATTTCCTGCCATTGTTGCAGTGCTCAGAACTCTGTGCCTCTGTTTAGGATTAACCTTTGTTTTTTCTTATTTTATTTCAGACTGGTTGTGCCCAGTATGAAACAGCTCCTGGTAAAAGTGCTATCCTAGTTTCAAGCAAAAGCATTTTTATTATTGCCATAGTTTTCTTCTCAGCTGCACCTGATTCATCACAGGGAGAGGCAGCTCACAGGCTCCTAAGCACTCCAGAGCCAAACAAAACCTGAGCCCGTTTCTAACAACCACAGCATCATCCATCTCCAGCTCTGTTTCCCAAGCTGTCGCTGCACTATTTGTGGCAGTGCTGCAATTTCTTGTTGGGAAATACCCACACCAGTTTGGGCAGTACTTACACTTCAGCCCAAATCAGGCTGGTGTATGGTAGTGCCAATCCTCCCCCCACCCTGTTTGCCAAGAAGGTGTCCTGCTCCCTGGAAAGGAGCAGAGAAAGAGGCACTGCAGAGCAGAGCTTTCTTCAGGAAATTGGTTGCACTAGAAAATGCATTGTGCCTGGAGCACTGGTAACCATGCAGAGCTGTTTAGGAGCCTCGATTTATCCCTAGCACCAATACAAAAAGACAGTAAAGACATACATTAAAGATTTTGGAGGGAGTTGCACACCAGCTGTGCCTGGAGGAGGGCCCTCAGCACGTGGCCAACTTGTGCTCCTTGACCCTTGTCCTGTGCCACCACAGCCTGCCAGCCTTTGCCCAACTATTGGGAACTATTGGGAGCTATTGGGAATAGGTGAACGGTTGGACTGGGTGATCTTTTAGGTCTTTTCCAACCTTGGTGATTCTATGATGCTATGATTCTAACTTTTACCCTTGGCAGAACGCACATGGGATGCCGTTCTGCTGGCAGCCCTCAGCCATTCAGCAGCACCCCCAGAAAGCTGGGGAAGAAAGCAGCTCACTTGTGCTGCCTGCAGCCCAACGAGGGCCATCCATGGGACTTCTCTCCCCTTTCAGTCCCCAGTAATAAAATCCAGGTGGTTTTGTGAAATTCTGTGGTTCAGCAGGCAATGCAGCAACATGCAACCTGAGCATCACTCCGAGGTCCCCAGCACCTGAGATCAGGAGCCAGGAAAGGGCTCCTGCAGTGCATCCAACAGGCATGATTTAGTGACATGACTGTTTCATGCTAAGCAGTGAGCTAAATGAGGAGGTTGGGAAAGGAATGGACTGCTCTGGAGATGAGCTGAGAAGGGAAAGGACAGAAAAATGCCAGAAGTACAAGTACACCCTACCAACATGCATTAATAGGTTACAAAAGCTCTTTTGGCAGAGCTGACAAAGGATTCCCTACAGAGGATTCCCTGAACCACCCGCAAACAGGTCAAGGAGAGGGATTCTATCTCACACTCCTTTACTGAAAAGAGCTCCATTTGAATTGCAGTGCTTTCCCATGGCCAGATATCAGGCAGAGCTGAGCGCAGCGCGCAGGCAGAGGCAGTGTGGATGTGGGGAGGGGTTGGGTGCTCACCTGTCCAGGGCGATGGCTGTCATGGAGTAGATGCTGGCAAAGACGGCAGCGATGGGGAAGAAGTTGTGAAACTTGCAGTAGAGCAGCCCATAGTACCATTCGTTGTGGATGGCGTAAGTGAAGTTCACCACCGTGTTGAAGGCAGACATGGAGGCTTCAGCAAAAGCCAGGTTCACCAAGAAGTAATTGGTGACGGTGCGCATCCTCTTGTGAGCCAAGATGATCCACATCACCACCACGTTCCCCACCACCGACACCACCACGATGAGGGTGTAGGCAATGGCCCACAGGGCCACCTGCCACGGGGGCTGGACGAATTGGTTGGCAGAGGACTCGTTCAGGGAGGCGTTGAGCAGCCATCGGTGCTCCAGCTCTGCTTCCAGCGGCGGGGAGTCATCCATCACAGCGTGGCACTGCCGGACCCGGCACGAGGATGCTTTGGGGCACGGAGCCCTCTGGGTTGAGGATACAGCAGATTCGGTGGGGAGGATGCTTCAGGGCACAGCACTCTGGGGTAAGGATGATTCGGGGAGCAGCACCCTCTGGGTTTGGGGTGAGGATGCCTCAGGGTGCAGCGGGTTCAGGGGTGAGGATGCTTTGGGGCACAGCACCCTCCTGGTTAAGGGCACAGCTGGCTCAGGGCACGCAGGTTTGGGGCAGGAAGGCAGATCGAGGTGCAGGACCCTCCGGGTTCAGAGCCCAGCCACGTCGGGGTTTGAAGCCCTTGCAGTTCCAGGCGCGGCTGGTTCAGAGTGCTGCTCCCTTCCTCTTCTGGGTGCAGCCGCAGCAGAGTACGCAGCCATGGCAGAGCACAGCCGTGTCGGGATGGAGCCCCTCTCCCTGGGGAGGACGCAGCGGGACCGGGCAGCGCTTTTCACCTTCCAGTCAGTTCGGTTCGGTTCGGTTCGGTTCGGTTCGGTTCGGTCCGGGCCGTTCGGCTCCGTTCGGCTGATGCTGGAGCGGGGCTGGGACCCTCCGAGAGCAGCCGGAGCTCAGCCACCGCCGCGGCTTTTGTAGGCGGCGCGGGCGGTGCCTGAGAGCGGGGAGCGGAGCCGGGAGCCCAGAGCCCTCCCCCGTCCTCCCCCGCCCACCCCGCTGCCCCTCGCCCCCTCCTCACCCTCCTCAGCGGGCTGCGTTCGCCTCTACGATTCACCCCAAAGCTTCTGTACTGCCAGCGGACAGCCGGGGGTGGGGGATCGATCCCAACGGCTTCACACGCACACACACATAAACACAATAACCAACAAAAAACGAAAACCCAACCCAAATGTTTGGTTTTTGTCATGAGGAATGGTCTTCTTGCCCAAAGCAGCACCAACGGGGCGGTCCGGCTTCGTGCCCCTTCCCTAATACGAGACGAGGAAACAGCTCCCGGGGGACCGCCAATCTTTCCGAAAATTACCGCTGTAATTTGAACGTGGTCCGTCTGCAGGCACAGAGCTCCCCTCTGCCCCCAGTCCAGGTTTATGACATCCACCAGACGGGGGTGATTTTAACTTACTCATCCACTATCGTGTTATGGCCAAGCGTGGGCGCAAAGCGCACCGCTGTGTGCTGGGAGCGATGATTTTCCCTCAAGATGCACCGATGCAATGAAGATAAAAAGCCCCTCTGGAAGCAGAGCTCGTCCCCCTGCTTTGCTAAAGGATGTTCCCAAATGGCTGCGGGCTCCGATATCAGCTGGGAACCGCTCCGAGGGAACGCTGCGAAACCAACACTGCGAACCCCGGGGTGAGAACGGCACTGCTGCTCCTGTGCAGGGAGGATGGCTCAGCTCGTAAGCTGAAGCAAGCAGGAGGGACTTCGAAAATCTTTAGTTCTTGACACAGGCTCTGCTGTTGAAGTGAGACGGAGCTTTTTAACGGCGGGACGGACGGACGAGGAGATGGATTTCAGCTTAGAGCCTCCGCATCGCCCGCAGCCCCGAAAGCAGGAGCTGCACTGAGGGTCCCCTCTTCCTGCATCCGGACCGCTCGATGGCAGCACTGCCTAAAAATGCGGCAGAGGGACGGCTGAGCAGCCTGCCGGCTTGGGGAGGTTTGCTAGCGAAGGTGTTTCCAACCTTTCCCTTCACTGCTTTGGGGCATTAATGTGAATACGACCAAACCCCAAAGGAGGGGACGCCGTGGCAATGGGGAACAGCAGCCATCTCAGATCACCACAGCAAACCCTCTCCGGTTCCAGCAAGGCTCCTCTGTGCCCCATCTGATAACAGCCCCCACTGCAGGGCACAGGGACATCACACCCGTTTCTCCACCTCCGTTTTCTCACTGGGAAAAAGGAGGCGATGTCTTATGCACATTCCTGCTGGAAAGAACCACCTATTTTTCCCTGTTCTGCTGCCATGTGAGGAATTGAATTGCTACCTGAAGCAGGCTGCAGACAGGCACTTGTGCCATGGCATGTCCAGGCTGGGCAGATGGGAGGAATGTCCATTAAGGGGGAGGTTTTTTTAATTCCAGAAGAGAAAAAGGGGAAAAAATTCAACCCAAAGAAGAAATCCTGCATGAGACAGAGCAGATGCACTCATCGCTTGGTAGCTATGAGCAGACTGCTGCAAGCTTGTGACAGCTAATTAATGCTTACAGGTCCCTGTGAAGTTGCCAGCACTGTTCTGTGTGTGATGTCCCCCTCCTCCCCTTTCCCAGGAATGCTTGTATACCTTTGCATGCACTGCCAGCCCTTCCAGAGCAAAGCAAAGCTTTGTAATCAGCAGATGGAAAAACCTTGACTTTTCCTGTTGTGTTTTCCAGCAGGACAGGAGCCTCTTCCCCTATAGGTCCCCCAGCAGTCCCCCTGGGGCCACCAAACAATGAGAGCACATACAAAGCACGATTCTCTGGGAGGAAAATCTGCTGAAGGGAACCATCAGAGATGACCTTTTTGCTGCCTCAGCCCCGTGCCCCATCCGAGGGGTTGGACCCCGTCTCCCTGTGCAAGTGACAGTGTGGGGTTCAAGATGTGCCATCTCCCAGAAGAGTGGTCCTAACCACCCAACATCCTGCACAGAGTGCTTGCAGGGCTTCGTGCTTGGGTGACATAAGAGCAGGCAGATCAAGCTGCCCTGTAGATTTGGGGATGGCACCCAAACAGGCAGTAACATCTTTTCCTTGAGCAGCTGATCCCAAAGGAAACACCTGCCCTGCTTTATCTGCTTGCTTCTACAGCCCCGCCCCCCCCCCTCCCCCACCTGGGATTTCCCTTTAAATTGAGCACAGTTGATCCCTGCTTTTATGGGTAGGGTTCTACAATTAGTTGGGTTTTTTTTCTAGTTCTCTGTCCTCTAAGTCCCTGTGCCTTGGAGGGTCAGGAGTAAAAGGGTGGCTGGAGGCTGTACAGCTCCAAAGTGATGCTTTCTCTGCTAAAGGTGAGGCTGCTTTATGGTTTTCAGTAGCCTGTGTGTGAAGCCTACCTGTTCCTTGTGGCCTGAGGAGGAACCATGAGGCTCTGATGATGAGCAAATCATGCTTGAGTTTTGTACAGTCAACAAAATCCCATGGAGGTGAATAATTTGTCTTTGTCTTCTGCAAAAAGCCTCTGTGGAAGTTCAAAAGCTGCTTCCCCCAGCAAAATGTCTCTGCTTTGAGCTCCTTTGCTTTGTCCTCTGCTTTGAGTACTGGCAGCAGCAGCTGGGGCTCTCCAGGTAGGTTTGGGGTGCAGGGTATTTTTCCATGCCTGGAAGGAGCCACTGCCAGGTTTTATTTTTTCTAATGCTCTGGAAATTGTGATTTTATTTATTAGGGAGCTGTAAGGAGGAATCTAAATGAAAAGGGGAGGTAGGGAAGGCTTCCTCCTCACCTTTTGCTGGTCACTGGTGATGTTTTTCAAGGGGAAAATGGGATCAACAGCAGTCTGTGTGCCTGTACAAGGGACAAGGAAAGTAATGTTGGTGCTGCTTTTGCACATGCCCCCATCTACAGCTACAGGCCTGCCAGCTTCTGTCACTTTACCCAGTCAGCAAGGGCAATTTGCTGTGCAAAGAAGCGGAGCCAGCATTTGCATTGCCCTGGATTCCTCCAGGCCGTTTAAGCCTCTCCCCTGAAGCTTCCTTCTGAATTTCCCCCTTCTCAGAGCCTCCTGCAGCTCTCTGCTGTACCTGCAGCCCTGTGCAGGTGCCCTAGAGATGCTCTAGATGCCCTGGAGTTCTTCACATAGAGAGAGGTGAGGTGCTGGAACAGCTGCCCAGAGAGGCTGCGATGCCCCGTCCATCCCTGGAGGTGTTCAAGGCCAGGTTGGATGGGGCCCTGGGCAGCCTGGGCTGCTGTGAAATGTGGAGGTTGGTGGCCCTGCGTGCGGCAGGGGGTTGGAGCTCCATGATCCTTGAGGTCCCTTCCAAGCCTGGCCGTTCTGTGAGCTGGCTGCTGGGCTCTGTGCTCGTCTTCTCTCAGGTGTTCTCTCATTGCGCTGTGAACACTTTTCTGTTTTGTGTTCAGAAGCTGAACACAAGGGAACAGCATGCTTTTAGGGTGACTGATCCCTACATGTTCTCATCTTCTTCCTCACCCTGTGCCTAGGTTTCCTTGCTGAAGCCAACCTCCAACATGGTTTGTTGCACCAGAAGAATTCCCCTTTCTGAAGATTTTCAAGAAAAGAGCAAATATGGCACTGAGGGGCATGGTTCAGTGGGCATGGTGGTGATGGCTGGTGGTGGGACTAGACGATCTTTGTGGTCTTTTTCAACCTTAATGAT